TGGCGTTCCACTAAGTACAATATCGGATGCTTTACGAAGATTTAGAGAAACTGGTTCTTACTCTAGAAGACCTGGACAGGGAAGACCAAGGGTAACAAAGACCATTGAAAATCGATTTCTAAGACTTCAAGTGCTTCGAGAGCGGACAGTTACTGCTACAGCTTTGACCAGGAGACTGGCAGATGTTCATGGAACTGTAGTTTCACCTGATACCTACTGTACTCAGAAGATTAAGGGAACAAAATGTATTTATACTTATGTACCTGCCACAGGCCCTTTACTGGATGCAGCTCATCGAAGACAACACTTAGAATTATCTCGTGCTCATGCAGATTGGGATATGTAATATTGGCGAAACGTTTTTACAGATGAGTCTCGTTTTACGAGATATTCACCTGATAGTCGCCAAAGAGTATGGAGGAGGCCTGGAGAACGCTATGCCCAATGTTGTTTCTCTCCTAGAGTACAGTTTGGTGGTGGAGGTGCAATGGTATGATGGGGCGGCATTTCTTTGGAAGCACATACATATTTTATTATCTATTTATTATGTTACGAGGAGCTGGCCTTAATGCTGATAGGTACATTAGGGAATGTCTGGAAGAACATGTGGTACCTTATATGCATTTTGTAGGTGAAAATTTTCTTCTAATGCAAGATAATGCTGGGCAGCACATAGCCAGGGTAACTATGCAATACTTTACAGATGTTGGAATTCAGATACTAGCCTAGCCTCCTAGAAGCCCAGACCTTAACCCCATACAGTATTTTTGGGACAACTTGGGAAGAAGACTTAGACAAAATTATGGCGAGTTTGAAACTGTGGTAGCGTTAGAACAGGCGCTGGTAAATGAGTGGGAACAAATACCGCAAAACGAGATTGCTGCTTTGGTCCAATCTATGCCAGAAAGGATGAGAGCTGTTATTCGAGCTCGAGGAGGGAATACTCGATTTTGATATCCAAATCTTAGAATTATTTTAATTCAATCAGAAAAATACCCATTAATTGTGTACTCCAGAATACAAAAATTTTATTAATTTTTATTTGTTTTTAAATTAATCAATATTTTGGAACTTGTTTTTTATTTTAGGGTTTGTTATTAAATATACTAAAAAAAAAAAAATTTATTGGAATTTAAGTTTTTCTAATACTTCTTAATTTTATTTAAAATACACTTAGTGTCTGGTTAATTTTGCGGTGCAGTGTAATTTGTTGTTTTTAGTTTGCTTTATAGAAATATAATCCCGTTATTAGTAAAAACAAATTTAAAGGGCATAAAAATCCAGTAGCTTTTTGAAATATTTTCACTTATTTTTTTTTTAATTTTTACCTATAAATCAACCTATCTATAAGTGTATGAAGGTTTAAATCTGGGGCCTATTTCATAAAACTAATTTGCAACATTGCAAATTTACGCATACAAATATTTTAAGATCTAAAAATAAACATTTAGCCACAATATAAACAAAAATGCTGGTTATAGGAGGTAAAAGAAGATGTGGTAACATGATTGGGCAGGTTTGCAACAAATAAAACAAGTCCACTGGAAATAGATAGTATGTGTAATACATGCAAGCATTACTTGTTGTTTTGACTAAGAATTTGTCTGTAAACATCGGAACAAAAATCAGATTTTTTTTTTTTATTTAACAGTGCTGTTCCTAAAGTGGCGCTGGGAAACAGTAACAAAGCCTACACAGAACACGAGGCTAATGGCCATAGTAATCAGATTTATTAAGGATATTTTTGAACATTTGCTATTCCAGAGGTAACTAGATATTAATACAAATGATTTTGTTTTAAACATCATATATTTTTTTGAATAAAAATAAATATCAGGGTGGCCATTAGTAATGACTAAAAATTAAGAATTGGTTAGTTATGGTCATATGAGTGGCCAAAAGTAAAATCTCATATTTTACTTATGGCCCCTGCAGTTATGTGGGTTGAGGGGTAAGGTAGCAATTGAGTTTTTTAACTAAGATGAAATATCACTGGCATCTGACAGCAGTGGCCGTTTCTCGTATATAAAACCAGCAGTGATTATGCAGTTAGAAAAACATTAAAACCGGGCGACTTTATTTGTACAATTTAGTGCCTGTGGTAAAAGAAGATCGACCGTCTATAAATATGTTGCAACTGTACGTCAAACTATGAAAAATGAAATAGAAATCCAGTGCTTAAAAAGCACAAACAAAGAAAAAAACTACTCTTAAATATACTGCTCTCCTGAGCCAAAAAGCGGTGTCAGTTGAACCGAGTTTCGAGAAAATACGTATTTTCTAAAAGTTATCTTCTTGTTATCTTGAGTTGAAAAAAAAATTAAGTACAGCTGGATTTAATTCATTATTTCTTGTTTTTGAATATTAATTTTAAAATTCTTCAGTCATAAATGGATATGAAGTCATTTAGATTAGTAATAATGTCATACGCCTAAGCCTTTTAGTAAATACAAGTGAAGTGGAGATATGTAAACTTATCTTAGTTTTTTTTTGTTTTGATTTGAGATTTTGCTATTTTTCTTAGTTCAACTGATGCAATATTTTTCAAGATATCCGACTCGTTAAAAAACAAAAAACTCGCTGTTTTTTGAAATACCGCTCTTTGGCTTAGGAAGGCAGTATATTGAAAATGAGATTTTTACTGTTCCCATATCTGATGTTTTAGGACTGTTAACTGAGCATTCTCTAGTAGAACAAGGTTGAAAATTTGTTATAACATTTTTAGAAAGTGTTAATGTTCATGAAAAATAAATTTAATTCGCGCGAATTTCGAAACGTAGACCATTTGCGCTCGTTTCGCTCGCTCTCTTCTGCGTAAGCGTGCTCTAAGGGAGAAAAATGGCGCGCCTGGTCTACGTTTCGAAATTAGCGCAAATTTCGAAACGTAGACCAGGCGCGCTTCCTTCGCTCGCTCTCTCTGTAGTGGTTAGGAGGTGGGTGGGACGAGCGTAGCATGATCTTATGATGTAGATGGAAAAGGCATGCCCGGCCGACGTTAGGTTAGGCAAAGACGTTGTTTGCATCTAAATTGTGATTTCACCTCTTATTCCTACTCATCCATTCCAACAACTATTCATCAGTTTTATTATAAACCCTCATAACATCTATTATGTAATTAAATTCCATTTTACATAGTCAGTAATTACTACTTAAAAGATTTAAATGCCACACCACAAAAATTTAAAAGTAAAAAATCACAGATACATATATCTCTTTTCATGTCTTATATTTCGTGTCCTATAATTCTATGAATATAAAACAATACCATAATTGTTTTGTGAATAATACATACATGTTCGATGTCAATAATAGGGCAAATAAGTTAAAAAAACTACAATTTTTGATTAAATTTTTCTTAAAAATTCGTGATTTTCCATAAATTTTTAACTTACTGTATAAAACAAGTACTTTTTAGTGCTTCAAATTAGCTCTGAACTCTCATCTATCTATAAAGTCTAGAAACATAAAACCTGGAGAAACTTTGATAATATGGCAACCTTGCAAACTCAACTATGTCATGTGCCAACAAAGGTAATTTGATTTATTTTTTTCATTTTATGTTTTGTGATCTGACAATACAATGCATTTAATTTTAATATAAATTAAATTAGCAAATGCAAAATAATTTTCCATAGATATGTAATTTCAGTTAAAATGTAACAAAAGTAAGTATCATTAAAACTTCGAAATTGTCACCTACATATAGTATGATAACAAAATAACCTATAAAATTACAACTTTTATTTCATTTTTCTCAAAATTTTGTGGATTTTCCGCAATTTTTTTTTAGGGACTTACTATATAAAATGAGTACTTTTTTTTTTTTTTTTTTTTTTTTTTTTTTTTTTTTTTTTTTTTTTAATTCCGACACTTAATATTATACGGACCCCATCGTACTTACTTAATCGCAGGGTAAAACTGTGTATGTAAATTAAAATTTTTGTAACTATTATTAAACAACAAAATCATGTAACTAGGTATCTCTTTTAAGCTTTCTGAGGCAAAATTAAATACCTAAAATTTATATTTATTTTGTTTCTATAAGAACCCCTTGCAATATACAAAATAACGCCACCCATGAGTAAATGTTTAAAATACAACTGACCAGTCAAATCTTTCATTTATTTCTTAATCCGATATGGGTGTAAATTCAGTGAATGACCTATAAATAACCATATTTGCAAATTTTTTTTTTTAATTTTGCCTAAATTCATTAAAATTTTCTGAAATTCAAAGACCATGTAGGTATATTCTTGATTTTCCAAGACACCCTACCCTGAATAATAGCATGAATCATGAAGAGCAACAACTGCATTATTTGGTCATAGGTATAAATGAGAGGTAGGTAGATGGATATTATATTTGAAGAATGTTCAGAATTCCATGAATTTCTATGTAGGTAGATAGATCGTAGATCATTCGCTACAGTTTAGTAATACAAATGCTATTTTATACGCATAATATAAGTTTAATCATTCTGGTTTTAAAACAATTTTGTACACGGCCAAATGCCAAGCCAATTTTTTTATTCTGCATTTAAAGATTCCTAAAATCGCGTACCTACCTAGGTACCTACATACTAGGTATTTTCAATACGCAACTATCTGTTGATTTTTTCAATAAGCGTGTTAAAAGTAAAACCTAACATAAAGTTCTTTAGGGCTGCTACAAGTTTACAAATTTATACCTAATTGATCTAAAGGTGCCGCAACAAAATAAGATAAAAGAATCTTGACATGTCAGACGCCATGAAGTCAAACACGCCTTTTCTACATACTTCTATTACACATTATTCTAACATGTAATAATTTAACCGGCATCTTATATTGGAATATTAATATAAAAAACTTCATAAAGATATTCTAAATTCTAACGAGACATAATCAAATAAAAGGATAGACAAATATAATGCCGGATGTGTTAATAGTTATGACTTGCAAATTGGCATGGTGTTTTGTAATGTAATGAAACCTGTATCGTGCAACGTGCTATTCTCTTACCTCCATTACAATCCTTCCAACAGGTTGACCATCGGCGGTCATGTCGAAGAAAACTTTTGGCAAACCCATTTTGTCGCAAAAATTTCTAGCGAAGGAGTTACAGAAGGCAAAATTCACAAACTGCACAGTCAGACCTCTACCGGCGAATGCGCTTTGTAAACCGGCTTGACGGGAAAAGACAAAGAAGGCCATCTTTAACGGAAGTGACGATACGTGAAGAAAAAATAGAGTTTAAATTCTTTAACGAGCTTTACAGGCTCTTATAGATGTTATTAATTATTCATTAGATAATATTAATTGTTTTGAAATAGAAATGTAAATGAAAAACTGTACAATTTTGTAAATATTAGAATTAATCTAGAAGTTACCGGAAGTTACGTAAGAGTTTAAAGTTCAGTGTGTTCAGAATTTTCAGTTCAACCTTATAGCCGCGTTCCGAATCGGCGTAGTTACAGTAAAGTTCCAAAATAATCGCTCAACTCTCAAGTTACTTTTTTATAACAACCAATATAAATTTAGGAATTTGGAATTTATTTCCTAATAAATAAAAATGCTTTATACCAACTCTAGTTTACTAGTTTCAATTAGTAATTTTGAATCCCAATTTCGAACGCTCCCCTTCTGTCATTTTATTGTCACTTGTTGACTTATCAAGAAATTTCATGACAGGAAGTTGTGAATGTGAAATAAATAACAAATATAATAAAATAGGGCATTGACGAATTAATAAAATGAATAATAACATTGGTTTTAATAATAAAGCTTGGGGTAGATCTAATAATTCTCCAAATATAATTAATCAAAACTCGATGCAGCCCCAACTGATGAACCAAAGCGGTCTAGGAAACATGGGTACGGGAATGGTGCAATTTCCTGGAAACCAACAACAAGCGGTATTTCAAAATATGGGTTTGCAACAACAAAACCTGGGCATAGGCCTGCAACAAATGGCGAGCAATGCAATGAATGCGGCGGCAACGCTCAGCTCGCAAATTGCCAATAACCCAATTTTCCAACAAGTGACCTATCCAAATACTAGGGGTTTGAATCCGACCGCATTTCAGACAAAACAGAAAGTATTAACTGGAAAAGTGACTCAAATGCATGATAATTTCGGTTTGGTTGATGAAGAAGTCATGTTTCAACTGAACGTCTGTGTTAAAGGTTCGCATCCTATTGTAGGTGATAGAGTGCTAGTGGAAGCTCAATATACTCCGAATATGCCTTTCAAATGGAACGCTACACGTATCCAGGTTCTTTCGGGCAACCAAACTGGGCATACTGGGGGACAATCAAAGAGGTATGGTAACAGTTACAGCGCTGTGCCCCCACCTTCCGATAGGGGTAGGAAAGGTGGCAGAAGGGATAGATCCAGAGATAGAGACAGAGATGATGATGAAATTGATAGGAAAAGGAGAAGGGAAGAAAGGATGAGAGAACGTGAGAAAGAAGAAAAAAAATCACCTATTAGCAAACGGAATAAATCTAGGTCCAGGTCACCTAAGAGTAATAGGAGGCGAGCTAGGGTGATTCCTAGATATATGGTGCAAGTTCCCAAAATCGATTTGGATTTGTAAGTATAAAACATATTATTATAATAGTTTGTTTAGTATGTTTTATTCAAGTTTTTATTATGTATTCAATTATGCAGTACTTAGAGAAAATACTTAAGTTGAGACTTAAGTAAGTAGCATTTATTCATCTTGAATTTATACATTTTGGGTATATAAATTATATTAATAAATAAATAATATCCGGCTAACTATAAAGTAGTTCACTAATTGGTGTTAAAATAATCATCTAATAATTAATTAATAAGAGAAAAAAAAACAATTTATTGAATTTACTAGACCTCTTCAATGTCCTAATTATCTTAAGTTTGCCATAAATAACAGTGAAATATGTTTCAACATATCAGCTACCCAAGTCACTAAATTTTATTGTTTGGAGTTGGACTTAAGGCTTATTTTTAATGACCATACAGAATATTTATGTAAGACATTAAATAAATTATATTTTGCATTTATGCCCTGGTATACAGCATAATTATTATCTGTAATATCGTTGTGTGGGGTAGGGAAAATACCGGGAAAATATCATGTTTTAATTAAAAAAAAAAATTGTAAGATTCATTTTTGATTTTGACTACAAGGAGAAACAGAAACACTTTTTAAAGAAAATAAAATCTTGTCTCGACAGGTATCTAGTTGTATAAACTCTTATCCACAACAACAATCACAAATTTAATAAAAACCTTAACATATATATATAAAAAAATCTTTTATTGTCCAAACAAGAGTACTCCCAATTACAGTACAGCTTAAATACTAATAAGCCCGAAACAGCTATATAATAATAATAATGATAATAATAATAATAATAATTATGAAAATAAACATAAATAAATATAATAATGAAGATCCAAATTTAACAAAAATATACATGTAATGAAAGAAAGTTAAAGAAAGAAACCGGCTAATTTATGATAATATTTTGATTCTATTCTTAAACTGATTTAATAAACATAAGAAAGTATCAATCCCTTTAGCATTTTCATGAGCATAATACAAGAAAAAAACGTATTTAGAGGTCTTGCTATTTAATAATTTATCATTTTTTTGATTGATATAATGTAGTAAATCATTCTTACTAAACATTTTATTTGGAATTTTGTGCTAAATATAGAGTTTTGTTATTTTAATAGAGCAATATTTATCTGCCAAACCACTCAATTTTATGATCTAAAAAATGTATTCAGAGTTCTTGATATTTAATGATTATTTTTTTTTTTTTTTATACTAATATAGTGAATCAGTTATACTAACAATAATTGTATTTGGAATTTTGTGCTAAATATTTTTTGTCATTTTGGTAGAATGTTTAAGTTTATCCATGGGACTGCGCCATTTAAAAAATGTATTTGTAGTTCTGTAAGTATATATATTTATTTGTCTCTAAATTCAAGAAGCAGAAATTGTTATTAATTGTATGTTCTTCTTTTTTATATATTTTGCCATTGCCCTACCTAGCATAATATAGTTCAGAGTAACTTTAAATCAAATTATATATTTTACATTTCAGGCTTGCACATAAAAGTGTTAAGTCACTTAGGAGCATTTATTTGTACAAGCTTAAGTATTTTTGTTAAAAATGTATTGCCCTAAGAAAATAAATGTATGTTATAATAATAATAATAATAATAAAAAAATAAACTATTGATTTATTTTTTTGATTGATACTGAAGTACTTAAATTCGTTTTTGAACAAACTATCAAAATAGAATAAGCATCTAATGAAATAAATTGACTGTCAAAGTTATTCCTTGCTTGCTTTGTTTGTTTGAACTGTTAATACGTCCCCAAGAGCAAATGCGAACTTACACATAAATCCACCAGATTACGCGAACATTCACAAGGTTACGTAAACTTCCCTATACCCTTCACATATTTTTCACGAGATTGTTTGCTATATACCAAATATTTTTGGTTGGCTTTTCTACAGGGAAAAAGGTGACGTCTTAGAACTAAAACGTAGATACAAAAACATGTACATTCCATCCGACTTTTTCTACACTTTCATAAAATGGGTGGAATCCTTCCCAGCCAGTAAACCCTTTTCCATCGGCAAGCCGTGTTCGTTCCACGTAATGAACAAAGACATCGATTCCGTTGTCGAAAACGTCGTTATAGAGCCAACCGATTCGGACTACCTCTTCTCTGCTAAAGTCATGCTGATGAGCACTCCCGGCTTGGAGGAAATGTACCAGAAATGCTGTTCTTTAGCCGAAGACAACCATTCTGATGACAGGGACTTCATTCATCCTACGAGATTGATTAATTTCTTGGTTGGGTTGAGAGGAAAGAATGAAACCATGGCTATAGGTGGCGCTTGGAGTCCTACCTTGGATGGCGAAAATCCGGACAAGGATCCCGCCGTGTTGATTAGGACGGCGATCAGGACTTGCAAGAATCTTACCGGGATCGATTTGTCTAACTGTACACAATGGTAAGTACTTTTGGAGTGTTTATAACATAATATGGTGTATACAGAGTGACGAAAATTTAATTTGACATTATTGGGATCTTATAAACTAAAAGAATCGACCGATTCGGGTGTGCAGAGCCACCCTCACTTTTATTTTTAAAATACAGACCTTTCTATTTTCTTGTTTAAATGTATTAACTTTGAATTCAACCCTATAGTAAACTTTGATGTTTTAAAGGTGATTACATGTTAAATTTTATTGTTTAAGACTAACAAAGAGATCAGGTCATTATTATAAAAAAAAAAGTTGATAGTGGCTTTAAAATGAATCTAATAAAGCAATGTTAAACCCCAATAAAAATTACCCCATTTAGTAGCCTTTCAGTAGTTTTTTTTTGTTCTTAAAACTGCCCAACAAAATAAAATTAAGTATTGCTAATTAAATAAAAAAAATATTTAAAAACAAATATAAACAATTTTAGCATAACCATGAATTTATTTTCATTTCAAAGAAATATTTAAAGCTACGTTTTTGCTATACAACTTTCGAAAAAAAATAATATTTTCTTTGATTTAGAAATTTCAGTTTATCTTAAAATTGTCCATTTAAGAGGAACATAATACCTTATTATCGAAAAACCAGAAAAGCTTAAAATAGGATAAATTTAACGTTTTAATTTACAGTAATTGTGCACATACATTTAGTCAAAAAGAGTCTCACGAAATTTCAATATTGGCCGAAAATGTATATTTTTAATACGATTTCAAACGATTTGCTTATGTGTATTTTAATTATAGTAAAATAAGACCATGGAAATCAAATTAAAAATGAAAGTGTTTTCAAAACCCATACTCTCAGCCCTCGCTAATAAAAAGGTGGCTGGACACCTCAGCTGAATTTCAGGTCTTAATTTCTATTTGACTAGTTGTAGGATTTTTTTTTAAATTATATTAAATTTTACGTCCGTAATATGAGCCACCCTGTATACATTTTCGACCAATGTTGAAATTTGGTAAGACTATTTTTGACTGAATGTATACGCCCAATCACTATAAATCAAAACAATTTATCATATTTTAAGCTTTTCTGTTTTTTCGTGAATAAGGTGGTACTATGTTCTTCTTAACTCGGACTTAGATATTTTAAAAAAATACCTATAATTACATCTTACAGGGTGTTCCGCGTAAGTACCGATACAGAACCGAGGCGTGTTGGGCACCCCAAAATATGACGATTTAACGCAATTTACCTCTATACCAAGTTGTACCCCTAAGGAGTTACGGAAGCCTAAAGTTTACTTAATTTTTGTTATTATGTAGATATTTTTAGGTATTATTATTAGTTTTAATTGTGTTCTCATTTAAATCAATTTTATTAAAAGTAATTTGCTATTTGTTAAATTTAATGCGCTAGTTCAGTAATGATGTAATTATGGTTCCACTGACAATTAAAGTGACAGTAGAATTTTTGAGTGCGTTTTGTTTACCTAAATTATATCGTTTTTTTTTACTTTTATAAATATATTCCTAAAGTAAGTAGATAGCATGTATCAAATATACAATCGTTTAGTTACCAATTACATACCTTTAAACTATTTTTTATGACCTGTAAACAATATTTTGAATTAAAATGAAAACAGTAAAAACGTATATGTCAAATTTATTGATGTTTTTGTTAAAAGTTTGGTTAGAATTAAATGTCAGTGGAACCAAAATGACATCACACTGAACTAGCGCATTGAGAAATGCATGGCCAACTAAAGTGTCAAGTGATGTTTGTATTAACATTGTCATAATGAATTGATTTAATTGATTTAAATTGTGTTAATCATATTTTGGGGTGCCCAACACGCACCTGTTCTATGTCGGTTCTTATGCGGAACACCCTGTATTAAGTTTATTATTTAGTTATTTCAAATTCTTCTAAAAGAATTACAATTTGTTCGAATGTTGAATATTTTTCTTTTCTAATTTGAAAAATATTTAGATGCGATTTTCATTGATTTATTTAGAGTTTCTATATATTTTTTTAAAAAATAAAAATTGGCGTTTTAATATTTTTGAAATGCTCTTTCTAGGCACAGTCCCTTGGAACCCTATATTAATAAATATTATGCATAGCTCCTTTTTCCTATCTTCTGTTATTTTGGACCTTTTTCCTTTAGTTTTACAATATTTATTAGCATGCCCGCAATATTGCCATTTTGTTACATGCATTCTCACTGTTTTAAACAAATATTGTTAAATTAAAATCAGACAACGTGAAATAAGAGTACAAAAGAAGAATAACCAAAACTTGATGAAAATCGAATCTTAATATTTTGGAATTGAGTAAAGAAAACTCAAAATTTTTAACCACAAATATATTTTTTATTTTCAATGGCAACTAGTATGAGTCAAACTGACCATCATCAAGGCTGTAAGAAAAGTATAATTTATAACAATTATGATATAAAAAAAATTGAATGATATAGGCAAATGTGAAATAATGTTTTCCCAGTAGAAGTGAAATAAAATTAAGGATTTGTCTAAAAGAGTTTAAAATTAATCAACTTATTTACAATAATTTATTGTTTCAATGTAAAGCTATATTCATTAATAACCAACATGAGTTCTTGGGGGAAAAGTCCACATCAACTACTTTGAAGTTGCTCTGTTGAATGCTTTAAAAAGTGATAAACAAGTCAATGCTACCTATACCGACTTTTCCAAGGCGTTTGACAGAGTTAATCATGATATACTTTGAAGTTGGTGGAAATTGGTATTCATGAAAATTTGGCTACGTATTTTTTTTTAATGGTAATAGTTCATATGGTAAAAAACAATGATTTTATCTCTAAACAAATAACAATAAATTTTTTTCTTGATCGTCAAACTTACTTTTCATCATAATAATTATAAATTGTACTTTTCTTACATGCCATTGAAACTAAAAAATATATTTGTTGTTAAGACTTTCGATTTTCTTTCCATAACGGACATACCACATTTGTGATATGGATAATTATCTTATTCATTTTGAAATAATTACTTTGTTTATACAACAGAATGACGAAACACAATAAAAATGACTAGTTTTATAGATTAGCCCGCCTCCCACAACCTTTAACTCTCCGATCTCAACGAATTTATTAATAGTACATAGATACATTTACGCGGACTTTTGCAACATTTTTGGGGGCAAGTAACACTGCAACTCTGCTGACACTGTATGTTCCATTAGGTACCGTTTCTTGGAACTGTATTACCGTCGCAGTGAGTCGACGCACAAGGGCAAGATCATCCCTGCTCGAGTGGAGACCGTCGTGCTGTTTCTACCTGACGTGTGGAGTTGCTTGCCGACGAGGTTGGAGTGGGACGGACAACATGCCGCCTACAGGAAGCAGTTGGAGAGGATTTTGAATCAATGTGAAGCTGTCGAAACTGGAGACGATGCCGCTGCCGCTTCTTCGCCGGCTGATGAAAAGGCACCCAAACCCGTTCCTTTTTATTTTATTTTTTTTGTGTATAATATGATTTTTACTGGTGGCTTATTATCGATGGGGGCGCTTCGTTTTTTTCTTCGCCAATAAGGAGGGATGTTTATGGAGGTTCTGAAATCGTTTGAGAAAGCGATATCAGAGGATTTTTATTCATTATAGTAGGTCATAGATTTGGTATTTTAGAGATACATCGACCTAAAATGAAGGCATTGCTAATTTGGAATATCGTTGGAATAAGTGTGTTAGTGTGTTGAGTGAGCAAGTATATTGAAAAATAAAATTCTTTTTGTCCAAAAAACCCAGCCTTTTGTTTGTTAGGCAATGTAGTTATCAAACAATCCACTGATTCAACTAAATCCAACATTAAAAAACCATTTTCATTTTTCAATTTACAATGTTTTTTAACTTTATAATATAAAACATTTTTTAAAAACAAACCTCAATTTTGGTGTTTTTTAAAATTTAAATATATTATAAAAACAAGTATTGTTGTGTATCCTGAATCAATTAATCGTGTCCCACGTAAGGCGGGCATTACAACTTTATGTAGAATAAATTAATTTGTATTTCCTCCAATTTCTGGGTATGCAAAATCGAATATGTCCCTTTAAATGACCGATCCATTTAAAATAAAAAAGTTTTTCATATTTAAAATATTTCATTTTTAAAAATAATTTCCAACAAACGATGTACAAGTAAATATGTTTAAAAAGAACATCCCATATGGCTAAAATTTTAAGTATCTTATAGAAATAGTACCTAAAATAGACTACTTTAAGAAAATGTCTACCAGCCACTAAAAATTTTGAACAAATTAAATAACTCCAAATTCTCTAGAATTAGAGTAGGTAAATGTGGTATCAATTAAAGAATTTCATGCTGAATCTAAAATTTTATAAAATACATTCAACTTCACCTTACCAATTATGCTTATCATGCACCTCTACCTAGACTAATGCGACTGGCTAATCAATACAATTTAGACATCACTGGGTGTTCTATTAGTCAATTTGTGAATGATGTAAAGAGAATTTGTTTTTAATATCTTTAGTTTAGTTTATTACATTTCATATATGAAATTTTAGATTTATTGTGCCTACCTTTTTTTTTTTTTAATGTACTTAAGCTATTTTATTTTATGTAATTTATTGATACTAATGGATTATTCCGTAATATATATATTTATTTATTTATTAAGAAGAAGTTAGTGGTCGCTTCCTGTATAACTGGAAGTCGCACAGATTTAATTTAATTTTAATCTAAAAGAGCATATTCGATTATGTATGCCCAGAAATTGGCGAAAATATAAATTAATTTATTCTCCATTCTCCTTACATGGGACGTAGTTCTGTATCTAAAACACGGTGGTCAACTTGAAATAAATATGCCTTCCTCAAGACATGGTTTTTGGCGTTTTACTATTTATTATTAACCAAAGGTCCTAATTGGTATAAATTATTTCAGAAATTGATGGGTTATCACAATATTATATTTATTTTTTATTTCCTATCTGATTTCAAGAAAAACATTATTTTCAGACAGTAGGGAGGATTGTTGTAAAAAAATAAAATACTGTCTTCGAAAAGAGAAGGTAATATTTGAACGGAACTGAATAAATCATAAGAAACAATTTTATTAAAGTAAAAACAAAACATTTTAAAGTTTAGAAATCTGACTTTCTTTCTCATTTTTTAACTACGTGCAAAAATTTGCTTAGTCATATTTTAGATGTTTTTCATTATTTGATGAAAACATTGAGTTTGTTGAAGTTTTTTTTTAATAAATTGACAAAGCCTCTTGATACCGCTCCATCGGAATTATAAATCTCCATCTAAACATCCTTTCCTAAAAGAAAAATAACGTCCTCCCCCCTAGCGTCGGCAAAAACAAATTAAGGTCCAGAATGATGAGCAATGCAAGCAAGCTTATATAGGTTAGGTGAACGCAGTGTGTCCTGTTAAAGAACCAAAACCGCATTCACCTCACGATGGATGTCAGGAAAAAGAAAACCAAAAGTAGAAATTTAGACAACAAAAAAATAACGAGGTGACTGTATGAATGATCTTTTTTTATACATAAAAAAAGTGAGATATGATTGGAATCGTATGAATGTTTTTATTTTAACTAGTTTTAAAACGACAGATTCTAATTATTTTTAAATTTTCTGTAGGAAGAAGAACCGATCGCCGTAAAAATAGATCCGACGCATTATTCGCAATTGGATCCCAAGAACATGGTGGTTAACGATTTGAGAAACGAGTTGAAGGCTAGGAATGTCAGTGATAGGGGATTGAAATCGCAGTTGGTGGCTAGGTTACAAAAGGCTTTAAAGGCGGAGGCCGAGGCTGATAAGAGCGACGATAAGGAGAAGCCGACAAAGGATGCGGATACCAGCGATATGGACACTTCCACGCAAGAAGTTAAGAAGGAGGTGAATTTTCAATCTTCAATATTATAACGTTTATTTATTTTCACTAAGACTTTAATTTATTTAATAACTCAATTTATATTGACAATATTTATGTGAACAGAACAATGTCTAACTAAAATTGACTACTCCAACGGCAAAATAGCCTATTTATACACATAACCGCCTATTTATTCACATAACACCTATTTATGCACATAATAGTTCATTTAAACACATAAGTGGCTTCTAGAATGTTTTAGATGTTTTTAGACTAATAATCAGCAGAACTGCCAGAACATACATTGACGGATCCACCATCGATGTTTCTAGGTGCTTCGTCATCGTTCCGTTATTTTCTAGATGGATGATTAATTTCAACTAATAGCATGGTCATGGGAGTTTCGTAGGGATTTCGGAGGTTGTCTTATTCTAGCGAATATTCTTGGTAACAGAAAGAGTGGAGGCCGTAATTGGTCCAAATAAGTCTAAGAGGGACTTAAAAGATTAGAGCATGACCGGACTGATCGAAAATATCCAGTTACTCATCTTTTGGCGGAATATTTTATATTTTGAAAGTCAGATGGCTTTAGGTCGAATCCGTCACGGCTATTGACTCCTCAGGGTTCGTATTCACTGCAATTTGTCTTTATCGTGCTTTTATTGGGAGATAGTGATGAAAGGTACATTTAAAATATGCACAAAGATCATGATATAAATATTTATTTAATAAAAAGTGGCAATTTTAGATTTTTTTAACACAAATTATTGAACAAAAATCTATTCTCTTTTATTTATCGAGCATTTTGATAAAATTTGGAAATATTAAGTTTGTTTTTTTACATGTAAATATGTCACCCTTTGATTAGAATGTTTTATTTTTGTTAAAACAAGCGGTAATTTTTTTACGTTTTTTCTTATTTCCCAAAGTATATGAATTATAATAATTATACAAAGTAGTTATTACAGAAAGACAAATTTCTTTAATACTGGGAACTGAAACAAGTTGTTTTGAATTATTGTATTTGCCCCGCTCATCAACACAGCTACTCATTCTTGTACTTTATGAAATTCTATAAGAAATTTATTTCCGTCTGCATACATTTCAAAACAAAATATAACTTAAATTTGGCATCATCTCAAAATGCACAATTTCGAGTATAATGTATAAGATCCAAATGATCACCTCGGAAAACAGATTGAACTGAGCTCCGCACTCTTTGATGGCTTCAGCTATATCTGTCGTATTGTAGTATTCAAGTCGATTTTTTTCATTTAGCCTGAAGAAAAGAAGTTGGATGAAAAGGAAAAAGCTTTACTGGAAAAACGCCATACCCTACCAGAAACCCCCCACATAATAGTCCACCCGTCCAAAACGGCGAAATCCGGCAAATTCGACTGCACCACGATGTCCTTATCGCTGCTTCTCGACTACAGACCCGAAGACTCCAAAGAACACTCGTTCGAGGTGTCCCTGTTCGCGGAACTGTTCAACGAAATGTTGAGTCGAGATTTCGGCTTTAACATTTTCAAAGCGCTACACCACCTGCCAGAGAAAAAGGAGGAAAAGAAGGAGAAGAAAGATAAGGAGGACGATAAGAAAGACGCGAAGAAGGACGAGAGCGATAAAACCGAAGAAAAGGACGCCGAGGCTAAGGAAAAGATGGAAACTGACGAGAACGGCGAAGCCGTTGCCGCTACAGCCGATAAAAAAGAAGAGACTGGCGAGGAGAAGAAAGACGAAGAGAAGAAGTCTGATAAAGGTAATTAATACAAATTCACCTTGAATTTATATTAACAGTTTTTATAACAGAAAAGAAAAACGGAAAAGACGATAGCAAGAAAGAAAGCGGCGACGAAAGTGAAGAGAGCGAGAAAAAGAGGAAGGAACGTGAACGCAAAAAGAAGGAAAAGGTCAAATTGTACACCAAAGATCGCCATCTACTGCTTTCCTTCGTATATTTCGATCAGACCCAGTGCGGTTACATCTTCGACAAGGACATGGAGGATCTGTTGTACACTTTGGGACTGAAAATGTCTAGGGCTCAAGTGAAGAAGCTTATCAGTAAAGTTATCGTGAGGGACTCCTTGCATTATAGGTGAATAAAAATCAAATTATCTGTATCTTAATAATAAAAAAACGCTGTTATTCTTTATGATTCCATTTTACTTGCAGAAAATTAACCGATAAGCCCAAAGAAGAAGAACCGGATACAACAGAAGAGCCCATCCAAGAGATCAATTTGGATGAAATTTCTCAAGGAAATAGGAAATTGTTGCCGGTATTTGGCAGTTCCGATACGCCCACCAAATCCAGCAGAAATCAAAGGAGTTCCGAAGCGCCTACTACCGACGGTAATTAAATCATTTATTTCGATAATCTTAGGCTACAATCGAACTTTCGTTTTCTAGGTTTCGTCAAATTCAGAGGATCCATTGTCGACGTGGGTAAGCTGATGTCCCAATTGGATCGCAGCGAGAAAACCAGACTGGAAACGGAAGCTCGCATGGTGGATTTGAAGACTGAGAATCAAAAACTGTCTGAGAAGTATCAGAAATCCAGTTCGACGATAAAACATTTGAATTCCGATTTGAGAGAGTACAAGGACAAGCTGAGGAGTTCTGAAGACGTTCTCGGCAAAATAAGTGTAAGTAAAATAAATCTTGAACGGGGTGTGTATTGAAATATATTTAGATATTAAAACAGATTAATTTTTCGATTCTTCTAAAATATGCAAGAAAAAGAAAATACCGATTATTGAAGGAATAATTAAATTTTGAAAATTCAAAGATTTTTTTGTGTCAGGCTCACTCTAAATTGTTCCAACAAACGCTGATCGACATCAAGGACAAGATCGAGCCTGTGTTGAAGAGTACCTCGTACAAGGACGAGGTGAAGAAGGAGCGAGAGGAAAAGGATAGGGATAAGAAGCAGGACGACGGCAAGTCTAGATGGGAAAAGGACAAGGAGCACACACACGTAAAGAAAGAGGAAAGTAGCATCGATGCGGTTGTCGTGAAGAAGGAAGATTGAGATGTTTGTGGTGTTGTGTTCCTCGTTTTTTTTTTGTTTTATATATTGATAATGTTAGGTTTAGAATTTATTCTAAGTTTGTGGGTTAAGAAAAAATACATATAGCCTGTGAAAAAATGCTTTGTATTATTAGTGAAAAATCCTAAAAATTGCCAGAAAAATCAATATTAGGAAATATGAAAGATACTTTAAAATTATTAAAATTGATTATAGAAGAAATAACACAAAGTGCTAAAAAAAATAATTATTTTCCATGTTATACCATTACACAAAATAAAGTTTTGAGTGAAAGAGTCTACAAGGGGTACTCTGGCACTGAAAGAGCATATAAGCGCACGCTGGAGACTCATGTATCATCCGATTTGTAGATGCAGCGTTCTCAGATTGTTATTAATATAATAATTTTTTTATCGAATAAGAGCAATTAATAAAATTCAAAAATAAGCATCAATATCAATACAATATTGAATATTCCTTTTACATTCTTTCAGAGTACTCTGGCAACACTGCATACCTCTCCTACAACTTTTTACCCATATCTTTCATCTTCCCTTATTAACAAAGTTCCAACTGAAATTTTTATAATTGGGAAATTAACCTCTACATACCACTAATAATACTAAAAGGTAAGTACATTTTTTTAATATTTCTTACATCCAACAGCTGTAAAATAATTCCCGCTGTTTAAAGGGAATATTTTAAATTTAAGGACATGTGTCGTTTGGTGATTTAATCATGAAAATTTAGAAAACAAAGGACGTTTAAACGTAACAAGTGATTAACCTTCTATTGCAATCTATTTTTTAACCGACTTCAAAAAAGGAGGAGGTTCTCAATTCGTCAAGATATTTTTTTTATGTACGTTCAGCGATAATTCTTTAACACTGTCCGATTTCAATAATTCTTTTTTTTTTTTTTTTGTTAGGAAGGGGCTACTTCAGTGTACAAGACAAAGTTTTGTACACTTAACGATTTTAGAAATTTTACTGGAACTCTTTTAGTTCACTGTAAAATTCCCCATTTTAATACAATAAAAGATAAACTATTTAAGTACCTATATAATTTTATTTAAGTCAATTTAAACGTACAAATATTAAGTAACAGTACTATTTAAGGACATTTGACAAACTGTTCGATTTACTAAATTCTCGAAATCCCTTTAGATTTACGGAGACTTTATGGATGCCAGAAATAAGAGCTGCAATAGATAATATAAAGAAACTTAAAACATTAGGCAGTAGTTATGTTTTTCAGACACCGTAGAAGAATATTGGTTTTCTAGACTTTATTTTATCAAGTTTGTAATAGGTTTATATGAAAAATATGTAAACTGTCTATCTATATATATAAAAATGAATTGCTGTTCGTTAGTCTCGCTAAAACTCGAGAACGGCTGAACGGATTTATCTTATCTTGGTCTTGAAATATTCGTGGAGGTATAGGGAAGGTTTAAAAGGTGAGAAAAATTAGAATAATTGCCGGGAAAACCATAAAAACAGCCCTTTTCTATTTTCCATACAAACGTTTAAGAGTCAATTATAGATCTTATTACCGCTGCACAAAGTTCAAATTCAATCATATCTATCAAAATAGTATTTGCGTGCGCGTTGTAGGATAATGTCGCGTTCCGAAACTCAACAAAAGTGAATCGCGACCGCGACAAAATTGCAGTCACAAAATGTAATATTGTCGGCATAATGAAAGAATGACTTTAAAAGCCCTCAAATTCTCATAGTGGGGATATGTATGTTAAATACGTATAGTGGGGACAGTCAATCTTTCGTTATTCTGACTATAGATAGGAAGAAACTTGAAAATTGGAATTATAGCTACTCATCACAAATAAATAATGGTGTGTTTCATGTTTTTGGATTTTCATATTTTAAGAGGGGAAAGAGAGAAAAGGGGAAATGGGGTGAAATAGTGGAATGGGGGAAAGAGAGGAACGGAAGAAAGAGAGGAATGGGGGGAAAGTGTGGAAATGGGGAAAAGAAGAAAAATGGGAACATAGGGGAAAGGTGAGGGTGCGAAAGTTTGTATGGGGCTATCGATTTTTCAAAGGTAGGAAATTGAAATTGTAGGTACTCATAATAAATAAATAGACATGTTTCAGGGTATTTAGATTTTTACACATTAAGGATGGAAACGGGAGGCGAAAGTTTAAATGAGACTTTTGGTTTTTTAAAAGTAGGACCTTGAAAATTGGAATTGTAGCCACTCATCAAGTAAATAATGACGTATTTCAAGATTTTTGGATTTTCACATATTAAGGAAAGGGAAATGGGGTGTATCGTAAAAATAAATAAAAACAAATAAAAATAAATAAAAACAAATAAAAATAATAAAAATAAATAAAAATAATAAAAACTAATAAAAAATAATGAACATTAATAAAAATTAATAAATAATAAAATAAAACATTTTTTCAGGTTTGAGAAATTCCAGCGAAGCGGGATCGGGTCAGCTAGTTAATATATAAACTTAGCACATATCACCTAAAGCTATTTTTCTGCAGTATAAGGTATAATAGAATTAGTTTAATTGTGTGACGTAATTACATTTTATTTCTAGGGCTAGGTATGGATGGAACAATAATCCTTCATCTGTAAAATTTGTCCGTCCATATAGATAGACTACGATTACTTCTGTACCATGACATTAAGAATCTTAATAGCTATTGTATTCTTCAGGATCCCATCAACATTTTACAAACGACACTAAAAAGTACAACAACAGTACTTATAGTTTATTATTACTTTCTTACTAAATATAACCTTACTAAGAAGATCAAATTTACGCAATGTAAATTTTAGAGTCAACACTTTTACAACCTCAGTGCATAGAACTTCAAAATTCCAGGGTTGTTTTAGTTACGCACCATTATTGTTGAATTCAGAACTTAATAATTTGAATTTTAATAATTTTGTTAAGACTATTTCAAGACAATGATTTAATTTAAAATAATTATTTTGTGAACATTTTTTTCTGGTAAATCAGGATGAATTGAAAAACGGCTTAACCGAATTCATTCATTTTGAGACACTAATATATAGCTGTTCAATAAACATTATTTATTTATAGTGATGTTCACATTGTCAAAAAATATACAGTATGTTAAGCCGACGCATCAGGCTAAATAAAGATGAGACGCTTAATTCTATTTGGATGTGAGAGCGATAAAGATAGTAATTGATTTTACGAAGGCAAGCATGGGTTATTGCGGTCCAGCGTATTCTATTTCTCTTTATTCAATGGCTTTGTGTTCTATACCGTTTTCCTGGAGTCAGGATAAAAAAAGTTAAATTATTGTATGTTAGAAAATAAGTATACAGACAATGTAATTAAGTTGTTAGATATTTCAGAAAACATTGTTTATGTTGCAAAAAATTGATAAAATGTTCTACTGGCCAGGATTCACTATCTAGCGCAACAGCTAATGAAAATTATTTTTTAGGAAAAAATGGGATAATTTAAGTTTCGGCTGTAAGTAATAGTGTAAAACTGTCGAATTATCTTTAAAACAAAAGTATTTTTAATTACAGATAATCAATTTACCTGCTAAAAAAAATGTTCATTCCCAATTAGTTTAAAATAAAAATTTGTTTTAAGAAATCAATAATCATAATTATGAGTATCTAATCTTTGAGGAAAATCACATAGGTATCAAGATTAATAAAAACCCAAACAAATATGATATTGTTCAAACACCAATGAAAATTTAAAAAACTAAATTTGTATTTTTTGTTCTATATTAACTTATTAAATAGCTTTTTTTATTTATAATTTATTAGTGCCGTTTTCTAATGTAATATAAATGTTTTAAGTTTAATAACAGGATGTTAACATATTTTTAAAAAAAGTAAAACCTTCCAACTTGGCAAAATCAAAGCTTTGTTACTACTTATTCTCTCACAACCTCCGTCCATGTAAGCAAGTTAATTTACCGCCTTTACGGATTCCTTAGTGACCAAAATCGAGAATGTCTATTCCTTGATGATGAGCCCAAGAATAACGTTCTCTTTGGTAAGCAAGATCAAAGTTTGAATGTTCAAATATTAATTTTTTCTTTGTTGTTTTTCTTTGGGTATAATTTAATGTTGCGGAATTAGGGGATAGTTGTTTTCCGAAGGGAAACAGTCGCTCATTTTGTAACACATGGCATAGAGAATTTCTTGTTTTCATTTATTTTACATTTAAGTTTGCATTTAATTTCCTTTTTTAATAAAATATTTGACTAGATGTTTCTGATAATAGTTTTAAATTTACTAACAAATATATGCCCATAATCGTTAAATTATTTTGATTGATGATTCTTAATGTACGCTCAAGTTCAAGTACTGTGTGGAACAATATTTCAAATACATTTGAATTCCTTAGTTTTGTAGTTTTTATATGAAATAAAATATTTTCAAGATCTGAGCAATCAATATTGCCATGTAATAATTTACATACAAAATATATAGGTATTTTTTAATATGAAAGTTATGTAAACCACGTGATTCCAGATTTATTTGCTATACAATTTATTACGGCCTTGGATTATATTTATTTCATATGAAATGGTGTTTTATATATTTTGCTTTTATTTAATTTTAAATAAAGTTACAAAAAAGACTATGATGTTTTTTATTTTTAGAAATCTCTTGAGGTAGTTCACTCGTAAAACGGCTTTTCTTAAGAATTCAATAAAATTGAAATATAAGGTTAATGAAAGTGTCTTTTATGTAAATAAAAAAAATTAAATTTTTTGACCATCTGTGAAACGAGATATTAACAATCAAAATGTGCATAATTAACACTCTTGAAGCCTCTCATGTACACAAGTAATGCATTTATTTCCAGATATCTCGAAAACTGTTCTTACCATATTTTTTAAAAACTAGTGTAATGTAAATCAAGAAGTTATAAAATTTTCTAAAGAAACGCTGAATTTTTTTTAAGGCAATCGACGCGTAGTTGCGTAAAATTATTACAACTTGGCAACGTTGTGTACGCTGCAATCAACGCGTTGTACCAAACCCACATACATTACTATACGAGGCAAGTGAGAGGTCCGACACGCCCAACATAGGGCGCGGCCATTTTGAACCCTGTGACACAGTTTACAGCTAAAGAAT